GTGTAGGACGAGGGGCTGCGCGTCCTGCCGCGGGATCGCTGGGCGTTGTGGAAGGGCCTTTCCAGGCCAGGAGTTGGGTGAAATAAGGCCTGATTTCCTTACAGGAGGGCTAAGAGGTCTTGGGAGACAGCGCCTCTCCTGTGGGTTTCTTGCTTGCTGCCAAACGGGTCATAAGCGATTCTGAGATGTTTTCCTCAGGCCTGAAAGCTTGTTAGGAAAATCTCCTTCCCGAAATGTTATAGCAGTGGGGATTTATAGTGTGGAATCGTATTAATTTCTTAGAGCTGTATGTGTACTTACAGTTCGTGCTGTATACTGAGTAGCCATGCTTAAGCAAGCAAGCTAAAGGACCCCAGCTTGTTGTGAGGAGGAGGAGGACAGACCCGTTTGAATTAGGGACATGTGCTTCTCTGAATCTTAAAGATGCTCACAGAGGATAAAGCATACCCCTAGAGAACGGAGATAATACCCTCATCCCAGCTCCTTTAACACCTCTGTGAAACCCTCCCATCCTCTGGCATCATAGGTGATCATAGCAAGACAGACTTCAGGGATGTCTAGATCAATAGAGAAGCAGGGGGATGATAATGCCATAGAAATATAGTTTCTTTGCAGATGGTGTTGTTTGTGTGTTAAGTGGCAATTAGCCAAATCATGTGGTACCAGAGTGCTTGAAAGCTGTAAGAGCTAGGTGAAAAGCCACATTCCGGGTGCCCCAGTTGGAATGGGACATGAATAAGATGATTATTCTTGTGATTCTATCCTGTGTGTCCCAGCCTCTCTCCTAGGTTGCAGTGGGCTACTTGTGAATTTTGGTTACAAAGCCTCAGATAAATGGGCAGATGCAGATTTTCTCTGTTTAGTTAAGTGGTTGCAGAGGTGACTACTTAAGTGAGAAACATGCAGTACCTTCTCCCTGATTGTGCAGACAGACAGCAGTGTGTGATTGCTTCTGGTGCTGCTGCCTCTGCATTGCTGCTCTCCAGAGCTCTTGGGGTAGCTGTCGATTTGGAAAACAGTGGAAATGTAATAAATGCCATTGGAGATGCTTCTTGGGAAAGTGTGTTCTCTAGTTGACAGAATGATACACAAAAAAATGTTTGTCTCCATCCATAGCATAACTAAACCCTAAAGACCTGTGGACTCTAAGAACATGAATACGTACTGCTTGTTAGGGCAAGAACACAATTTGGGATATGTTGCTAAAAAAGCATCATTTCCTGAGCAGATAGTAAGAGAAGAGCAAGGACTGTGATGATGTTTGTACATAAAATACACAGCAGAGCTTAATGTATGAAAATTACTATTATCAGCTGTCGCTATGGGTACCCAGTGATCCAGGCTCCCTGTAGATGGCCAATGTTTGCCTTTTAACTTTATATAGTAACACTTTTTGCATGGAACATCTTAATTGTGTGTTCCATGAATTGAATGATGTGCTAGCCTAGTTACAGTCTGTTCCTGCCCAGACCCACAAGGACTGTAGTATGGCTGTATGAATAGGCTCTTAGTTCAGATGGAATGCCTACATGTAGGTAGGTAGTTGTCAGGCTGCTCAGAACTTGAAACCTCTGAAGAATTTCAAAACTTAGGCCCGTTTGAGGTTTTGAGGATCACACCTTTAAATTTAGCTACCAGAATTTCACTCTGCTTCTCGCTTCAGAGGATCTGTTACTGAGTTTCCCAGAATTCTACCAGAGTTCTTTATTGGGACAGGGTCTGGAATGTGTGTCTTCCAGTGACTGGATCAGTTACTCTAAGGTGTTTGGACTGAAGTAATTTGCTTCAGTTTTACATGGAAAAGAAAGTTAAACCGTATTTCCAAATTATCTGCATGCATTATAAAAGAAATCTGTTTATCTTGCATTGCTTTTTCAGTACATGTTCATGTATATAAACTTTGGGGTGCCTTTTTTTTCTTTTGCCTTTTTTCTCTCCTTTTTATTCTAAGGTTCGGTGGTCAACTGGTCAGGTCAAGGGCTGCAAAAACTGAGTCCAACCTTGCCCTGTGATGCTGATACTTACACTTTGATTCTGGACAAAAACCAGATAATTAAATTGGAACACTTGGAGAAATGCAGGAATCTTAAGCAGGTCAGTGTTACTTGACTTGAAATTGCTATGAAATACTGAGGCTGTGGTGTAAGCATCTTCTGCTTTAAGGTTGTGTTATGTAATTGAAGTAAGCTTGCAGTTACTGTCTTCACAGGAAAATACATGATGGCTAACTAAAATAGAAAGCTTTGTTTTCAGTGCAGGTCTACAGTGGAGGAGGTGGTTTTGCAAATTACCTAGGTGACTAAAAATGAACCAAATAAATCCTATTGGAGGAGGGGGAGGAGTGGAGGCATCGTAAGAACACATAGAGAAGTCGCTGATAACCCAAATTTTGATACTTCTTAGCTTTTGAATACTTGAGCTTTGTAACCTTAAAAATAACTTTGGTTTATATTTACTCTGTGTGACTGTAAATGTGTTGACATAAATACAGGACTCTCCTTTCTATTTGGATTTCAGAACTCTTCACAAAGGAAGAGGATTAATAGCCTTAATTTACAAGAAGAAAAAAAAAAGCTGTGTTGATTAGATTAAAATAGAAATAGCAAATAAAGGAGTGTGAAGTGCAAGGGGTCCATGTGGTCTCCTTTAGGCCCTGATCTGGCTAGTGCTTATCTTTAATGCTAGCAGCAGTCCATTTGGGTTCACGAGGGCATTGGTGATGACAATGCTAAGCCTGTTTGTGGTGCTTGCAAGTATTAGAGTATTAATCCCTCCAGGGCAAAGTTGTAGAAGTCCATGTTAATTATCATTGAAAATGCCTCCAGACAGACTCAAAGCTGCCTGATAGCTTCTACAGACAAATTAAACTGAGATGGAAGAGGTGGGGTTTGTTGCTACAACAAACCTTCGCCAGACTGCCAGCTTGGTGCTCATATTAGAGTGTATATCTAATCAGGATCTGCCCTTTTAGAAGTTTGTGTCTTACACTCCTGTCAGCACAGGACTTTTTTCAGAATCATGTGCAACATATTTTGTCCTCTGCCACATTGCCAGTAAGCATGATTTTACACCAGAAATGGGGCACCAATTTGCACCATGAATTGGCAGTTCTGATTTTAACATATTATTTTCATATGACACAACTCCTCATTCTTCTTTATTTAGCTATTGCTAGGAGGATTTCCTCTGAAGTTTGCAGAGTGAGTTGTGAAGACGATGTTAATTGATCAGCGATTTATTTCCTGGCTCTAGCAGGGTTTTTTGTCTGTGTTATTTACTTGAAAGTGAAATATGTAGATTGAACAAGTTTCTGCTGGAGTAGATTTTTAACTACTAAAAATAAAAATCTCTCTGTCTGTGTAGTTAAAACTGTTTCTTTTCTTTGTGTGTCAATCTGCAGCTGTCTGTAGCCAACAATCGTTTGGTGCGAATGATGGGTGTAGCAAAACTGACTAAGCTCCGGGTGCTCAACTTGCCTCATAATAGTATAGGGTATGTGGAAGGCCTGAAGGATTTGGTGCACCTGGAATGGCTGAACTTGGCAGGAAATAACCTTAAGGTAAAGTATTTAGAGTTTTGCATTTTCCAGTATCTAGTGTTGTTGAATTTGGAAAATGCTGCAGGGAAATCTCAATATGTTTCTGGTTTTGCTCGAAACAAAAATGTTGATGTTTTGCATCTACTGGTTAATGAAATAGAAGAGGGCAGATGTAGGACTAGAGTTGTCTAGGGAAAAAAATAAAGGGTTTGATCTCAAAATATATTCAGAACTGGGAAATAGTCCCCAAAACAGGAAAAATACTTAACTGTGTTAAACCACGGGTTTTATTTGGGTTACTTAACCAGTGGTTTTTATAGCATTTAAAATAATTTATAATTGATGCCTGGTTTTATTTAGTAACTGAAAGAGAGTTACTGTGAGTAATTAACCTCTTTGTTTTGTAGACCATTGAACAAATCAATTCCTGTCTGTCTCTTCGGCATCTTGATTTGTCAGACAACAACATATCTCAATTAGGTGATCTCTCCAAGCTTTCATTGCTGAAGGTAGATGTTACTTTATCTCTGGTTTTTTACATTCTTTATGTAAAGAAATGTGCTTTGAAAATCACTGCCTTAAAAATCATTCATTATTCAAACACTGTCTCTTAAAGCATTTTAATTAATTACTGTAATTCCTAGAGGAAAACATGTAAGAATTGTTTTCGGGTTGCAGGAAGTGAGGCAGTGATTTTTCTGTAACCACTAATGATTTTGATAAAGATATCATGTCGAGATCTTGTTCATAGCTCTTTGTTCTCTTACCTCCTGTCATGAATCAAGACAAAACTTAGTGTTAACGCTTTCAGCATGAACACTGTAGAGAACAATCTTTCCAAATATATTTTTTGTAACTGTGACCAGAAAGCCTTAGTTGTTGTTTTGTGTGTATTATGCAGGCATTGCCTGAACAAAAGATACAGGGGGGGTTGATCTAACATAAGTTTCATCACCATATCTTTATTTTATAGACTCTGTTGCTACATGGAAATGTTATAACTTCACTTCGCACTGCCCCTGTTTGTCTACCTCAGAATTTGACTGTGTTTTCTTTGGCAGAAAATGAAATCAGAGACTTAAATGAGGTAAGGTATAGAAGGCATATATATCACCTTGTCTTAAGGTAGAATGAAAGCAGATAGTTGAACAAAATTTTTGAGGTTGTAACTGAAAGTGGACTCTCTTCTTAGAAACAGCCCAAATTGATAGAAGTAACTTTTAATAGTTTATATGTAATAAATAACTATACTTGCACTAGCTGCACGAGCTGGGTGATACCTCCTAAAATTTAGCCTTGAAAGAAATTTGCCTTATTTTCCCTTATGTTTTATATTATGCAAGGATGTCAAAAGTAAACTTTTAAGGACTAAATTCATAGCCTTTTGTGATTGGCTGAAAGTTGAAAGCTGAGCTGATTAACTGCTGCAGAGAGCTGCTGCAGCTGCTGTGTTCAGAAGAGAGATTTAAATTGCACTTGTTGCAACTGAATATTTTGGCACCCATGTCTTATTCTATCTATTTCTCAAACATTGTATAAAAGAAACGAATAATCTGCCAGTGACTTGTGTCTTTATTGTTTTGTTTTGCTTTGGTTTTGGATATTTTTTTTTTTTTTTTTTTTAATACAAGTAGTAGCCAGAGCTCTTGGTTGGGATTCCCTGTTGGAATTGAGATCTGATTTTAGTAATACATTTCTCTTCAAAACAGAAGTATTTCTCCAGACTTTTGGCTTGCCTTTATTTTATTTTTATGGCAAAACCCAACACTTGTAGTAAACTGGAAGCACAAAAATACTATACCTTTCTATATATAAAGCTCTATTCCTAGATTTTAAGATAAGCTAATACTTTCCAAGGGCTAATAGTACTTACAGAAGAATTAATGGCAGTAGTTGATAGAAGGTCTTCTGAAGATGTTTGTGTTCCGAAAGCAAATGTGATGTTTGATGTATTTGTAATTCTGTTGTTTGGCACAAGATGTCTGGCTGTGTCTAGGAGAAATGTGGTACCTTCTGTAAGCATTTAGTGGGCTCTGTTCAGTTAACAAATGCATCTTTCCTCAAGGTTTGTTTCCTGGCCTGTCTTCGTCACTTGGAACAGCTGTCAATTATGAACAATCCTTGTGTGATGGCCACACCCTCTATCCCTGGCTTTGACTACAGGCCGTATATTGTCAGCTGGTGTCTAAACCTGAAAGTTCTTGATGGATATGTGATTTCTCAGAAGGAAAGGTGACATCACAGTATTAAATCTCTACAGTTATTAAATAAAGTTTGGCTAAGATGAAATTGCATTCTTATAGAATAAAAAAAATGGGAAAGTGCTAATGCTCTGAAATTCTGTTTGTCTTGCTAATGGCTGTATGAGAAACAGGCCAATTAACATTGTTGCTTTTGTTAATTTTTCATCTGTTAGACTGGAATTATTGTGTAACGTCACAAGTTTGTTTATTTAGAAGTATAAAGTTAAGCTTTTGTTATACAAAACTTCTTCTGTTTTCTACAAAGTGAACCTATGGTAGCAATTTATCAATGGTCTGTTAACCCTTCAAGCTTTAAAACCTCTGACTTTGCAGAATGTGACAATCACCAGATATCAAAGCTATTATCGTGGGGGAAGCTTAAACATTTCATTTTTATAAAGGGCCTGATTTGAGTGTGTGTTTCTGGATTTGGCATTTTTTGGTATCACTTAGTTAAATATTATTTTGCTCAAATGACTTGTAACTGTATCACTGGTCATTATATCACTATGATATCTGTGTGACAAAGTTCTTGACACCAGAACAGTCCAAGTATAAGTATTATCCAGTATAAGCACATCCTGTTTTAGTACATGAACATATTCCAGGACCTAAATGTTGGTTTTTTTCCCTGTTACTAAAATAAAAAGCTGCCTTTTTGGCCAAAGCTAAACAAATTCTATTTCTGTTTCACCATAACATGTTAAGACTTTCCTGTAAAGTTGCCTATAAGAATCTAGACTTTTTATGACTAATGGACTCTTCTGCATTAACTGTTGTTAGATGTGGATGTATTATATTACATTATATTCTTGGACTGAAGTGCATGTAGTTTAAAAACAAATTTTGGCTGTTGAATACTTACAGCAGGATTTGCTCTCTGTGCCTGTTCTGCATGTTTGTGTGAACTCTTCTGTGTCTGTGAAAGCTTTGCTGACAAATTCATTGACACAAAGGTGTTTCCAGTGCTCAAAGACTACCCACAGACAAAGCAGAAACTGCACAGTTTTGGACAGTTTTTTTTTGTTTGTTTCATTAGTGCTTATGTGAGGGAATACTTCATTCATTGTTCCAGTAATGAAATTCCCACTGAGAATGGGAACTGCACATGGGCACTGCACATGTTTCAAGTTTTGATTAGATTTGTAGATTATCTCTCAGGTACTCAAAGAACAGTAGTGAAAGGAGTGTTAGCAGGTTTATGTCCTTCATTAATGGTGACCATTTTCCCCTTCTAACAGTTTGAAAGCAGAATGGCTCTACAGTCAAGGTAAAGGAAGATCATACCGACCTGGTCAGCATGTTCAGCTGGTTCAGTACTTGGCTACTGTTTGTCCTCTTACATTTGCATATGGACTCCAGACTGAAGAAGATGCCAAATTGGAAAAAATACTGAGTAAGCAAAGGTGAGAACTTCTTGTTTTTTTCTTAGAGAATGTAATCAAGAACATAATTATGTATCTTATTATGTGTTAGATATAGAATCATAGAATCAACTGGGTTGAAAGAGACCTCAAAGATCATCGAGTCCAACCCTAGCATCATTACTAGACCATTTCAAAGCAACAGTGAGAACTGGAGATGGGCAGTGTAGTGGAGATACAGGATGTGTCCTAGAGGAGCATCAAAGGCAAGGCAGCTGCAGGAGTGGTTTTCTGCTTTCTGGGCCATCTAGTGGAAAACTCTATATTTTTCAGTCCTTGGTCTGTAGGACACTGAAGGTAATTTGTATTAGGACTGTGCTTAAAATAAACAAACTTTGTACTGAGATTTTGTTTTGCCACAGGAAAAAATGAGGAAAATGTCAAAAAAAGGAGCTTAGCTTAGCTTAACTTTTCTTCTAATTGTAAATGAGGACTATTGTAGTACAGTGTTGTACTAGCAACTTAATGTTAGCGTGTTCTTTCTTGGTTTTAAAGGTCAGGTTGTCCTTTTGAAGGGACACTGTTCGCAGTGGTGCACTTGACCATCTCTGACATCTCAAGTCTGTCAGCAGAGGCCTCTGTAGAGCCTGCTGGTTCTGCCAGCAGTAGTTGTTTTGCTAAGGTCTAAGCAAGTAGATGACTAGAGTTACTGTGGTGCATTTTTTTCCATGAAAAGGTGAACTAATTGTCATTAAAAGCCAGAAAATGTAGCAATACAGGCAGCCCTATTCCCAAGGACCTACTGACAAACTGTTTTTGCAGAAAGATAGAAGACTCAGCTCCCAGAAGCAGGCTACATAAGTGCATAGTGAGGTAAGAAAGTTGAGCAACGTAAGTGTTGCAGTAAGTGGAAGGTTGGTATTTCATCCAAAGGGCTGGAAGCTTGGGAGCAGCTGGAAGGAGTTACTGCATACTTTGTCAGAGTAGATTGGTCTCCGGGGGAAATTGTATAAATGTTGTGGCCATTTCAGAGGAGAAGGTGCAGTAAAAGCATATTGACCTTGGAATCTGCAGCTAAGTGCTCTGACATTCACAGGATATTCCTGGGGAAAATTCAGGATGTTGACTTGTGAAATATAACTCTCTAAAACCCTCAACAACCAAACCAAAAACGCCTTAGCATAAAAAGCAATGCCCCCAAATCCCCACCTATATATTTATGCACACACCTGTATGGTTTATAGGACAGTTTGACTTTGATCTCTACGCCATGATCTTCTAATTTATCCGGGTTGAAACGACCTGTGTTTTCTGAGTTTGTAAAGGATGATTTTGTTTGTGGCAATATTTGTTGAGGGTTTTGTCCCTTTAGTAACAGGGACATCTATTCCTTGATTCAGTTACTTTGAAGCGTAAAAGACACCCCCTCCATTCTTCAAACTCCTCTACACCTACAGACATAGTGTATTCCACATTAGACACTTAAAATATCTGCATGCCTCCCTTGTGTGTAGAAATACTTCATGGCCTTCAGTCTATAGTCAGAATTGCATGTTGAGTCTTTTTTTGGTGTTTTTGGATACACGTAATGAAGGAAAAGGGGCAGGAAGAAGGGTAGCAGGAACAGACTGTGCAATCCCCTACTTTATGAGTAGTCCTGTTAGTGCCTTGTAGGTATAAGGATCTGCATAACTAGCCTGTTTAGAATGTTTTGATTGCTTGTTTCCTTTGAAGTGGTTGATAGTTTTAGATGTTTTCTGTAAAAAAAAAAGTTTAAAAGAAATACAGAATTTGTTGCAACTCTGTGCTTAGACTCCACCAGAGGCAGCTGATGCATGAAAACCAAAACGAAGGATCACCTATGTCTTCTCCCAGCAAAACAGTGCCAGTTGCTCCTGAACACAGCAGTCCAGCCCAGCCAGCACAGATAGCTCTTGAAAGTGGTAAGAAGCTAATTTACACCTGTGATCTAACCTGTAGAAATAAATATTTTTTCCTTTGAACATAGGTCACTTTGTGGAGAGAATTTCAGAACAGGGCCCTGTTACTATTTTATCCTATTGATTTTTGGAGAATGTTTTCCACTGAATTTATATTTCATGTTCTAAAAATCCATTCTGTGCTTTTTCTTGAAGTGCTAGTAGGGCTTGTTAGGTGAAAAATGCAATGCAATCAACTGAAGAGTTATTACTCTTCCATTTTCTAAAAGTGACTTCTCCAAGGGGGTGCAGTTTGTGCAATTTACTGTGCCCAGTGTTTGAGTTTGTGGCTGTTACTGTGGTAAGAAGTTACTGTCTTTCTATAGAAATAATGATTGTCATTACTAGCATTTTAGATCATCCTACACACCCAGGTGCTAACTGTCTAAACCAGATTGTGAATCCCTATGAATTAAATGAAGATATGTTATTGAAATACTGTAACCCTTGAATGTGGCTTTCTGCCTATCTAGAACCAGTCATCCGAAAGAATTCTTGGGTTGGGCCGAGTGTAAACGATGATCATTGCTATGCAGTCAAGAGCACTTCTCTTCCTGAAAGAAGCTCCCACAAGGAGCTGTACCTTGAAGATGCACAGGCAGATGAAGACAAACTAAACAGCAGCCTTTTATCCTCAGAGTCTACTTTCATGCCAGTTGCTTCAAGGTTGTCTCCACTGTCTCCTACTTCAGACCTGAAGCTACGTGGAATCAATTTGAGCCTAGAAGATGCTGATGATACGGCGATTAAACGTGTGAGAGACATTAACAGCCGAGAAACAACTAGCAAGCAAGAAGCTTCTTCTATTACAAGAGAGTACTCAAACAGAGCAGTAGGAAGTGTGGAAATGCAAGAGAATGTCAAAGAGATTATGCTGTTGCCTTCTGATCCAGTAGAACCTAGCCTGGCTGCTAAATCTAGCAACTGTTCAGCATCCTCTGAAGACCAAGTTCTGCACAGCCAGCCCAGCACTTCATTAGGTCCTGAATCAGGAGGTAAAACTCTCTGTCTTGGCCAGATGACAGGAGAAAGTTCTGATTCATTAGCTGTTGCCAGTCATGGTGCAGCTGAACTGCAAAGAATGACTAAAGCAGTTACCAAGCTTCAAGCTTGCTGGAGAGGATTTTACACGAGGAGCTACCATCCTCGAGCCAAGGAAGTGCGGAATGAAATTCGACTAAACAGAATGCAGGAGCACATCATTTGCTTAACTGATGAAATAGAAAAGTAAGTTGAGGTCATGCAGTGTATTTTCAAATCTGAATGAATATAACCATTATTTCAGGGTGTTTCAAACAGGTATTAAGTGGGTCTTCTGCTCACAGTAGAACCTAGCATTGGAAACATAAAATTGATTGCATTAGAGGATCACTTCTGTCAGGTAAGCAGTTATGTGCATAGCTGTTCATACTCTAAAGTGCCTTCTCTGAGTGGGTTAGGTTAGAACACATTTTTTTTATTACTCTATTATCAGGTCTTGCATGTTTCAGTGCATAACCAAAATAGAAACTGCTGAGTGGTTTTTGGTTTTTTGGGGGTTTTTTCCACTTGTCTCCTATCAATTACAAAATCTATAAAGGAAGTATCCACATTGAGAGTTGTTCCTCTGTTGCTGGTGAAAAAATTCCCTCTGCCTTGTATGAAACAATATTAATATATGACTGTGTTTTGGCTCTGGTTTGGTTTTTTTTTATCTTATGAATCCATGTTTGGAGAAGATGATTATCCAACTTCCTCAATTTGTAAGATATAAATTCTGGATTTACTTAATGTCTTTGTGGATCAGCCTGGGAGCTGGCAGTCTGACAGGCTCTTTTTTCTTTACTATCACAAGTGACAAAGTTCTGTGAATCAAGTAGAGTGCTCAGTGAACCTCTAGAAACTCCCAACACATCATACCTACATCCAGGTGGTATCGGCTGGGGAGAGCATAATTTGAAATGCAGAAGTGTTACTTGGGGCAGGGGGAGGCAGTGATATTTATGCAGGAAAAAAGAAGAGCTCAGGTTCAGTTTGCAAAATAAGACACTTAAATTATTGGCAAGCCAACAAATGGGCCGCAGCAAAAGGAAGCAGGATCTAAATGTGACGAAAAAGAAACATGAAGTCAGCAGCTGGATATTGATGGCAAGCCAGACTGCAGTAATTTCTTAATGTTAGGTTCTGTATCTTTCAAGAGTGCTGTTATATAAGTAGACATTTTTATGTGTTCTTGTTGCTCTTGTTAGCCAAATGTTGATTATTCAAGCTGTGTTCTTGCAGACTAAGGAAAGAAAGGGAGGAAGATAAGATACGGATGCTTGTACAGGAGGAAGCTGTCAGATTTCTGTGGAACCAGGTAAATAGTTTTGGTCCTCTTGGTTTTTCTGCTTCTGTATGAATTTGCAAGGCATTATTTCATCCTGTAGATCCTGAAGAGATAGGCAGTAGGGTTCATTTTTTCCAATGATGACTTGCGTGGCTTAATAGAATATAATTGCCATGTTATTTGCTATACTAATACTGTGGGGGAAAGTAACGTTCAGAAGCATTAGTGCAAGAACAGTGGTTTTGTTACTAAAGGCTAAATTGTAGCCTGGTGTGAGAAGGAAGACAAAACTCAAGGGAAGCTAGATAAACGTAGCAGAACTGTGAAGAATGATGTGATTGCTAAATGCCCAAGGCAAATGAAATGGTGTCAAGCTGTGTTGTTTGTGAGCAGCTCATTTCTGAAGTAGGCAACTTCAGAAAGAAGACTGACTGTTTTCTTAAGCATGGATTATTTCATAGAGGTTCCTCATTCTTTGTGTTTTTAAGAACAGATTGCTTTGTCTTCAAGTACTTGAACTGTGAGCTTGTGTGCTCTGTCAGTGTTGTGCATTTAGGTTTAAAAGTCATTATTAAGTGTGGGAAGAACAAAATTTTCCTAAAGGTATAGTGAACCTTTTGTTTGTTCACTTAGTCTTAGGTTTTATACTCGATTTTGGTTGCTGAATGCATGAAATACTCTGGAAATCAAAATATTGTCTTAATTGCATTTCATAATGAATTTTTCTGTATACTTTGCAGGTTCAATCCCTTCAACAATGGCAGCTTTCAGTGATGCAAAATTTGGGTGCTGCTTGTCAACCTGAGATCCCTTCAGCCAGTGCTTTATGTCCATGCAAACCACCTATTCAGTCACCCACACCTGAGGAAGAAACCACACAAGATGTTAGTTCTGCTGGGTTAGTTCCAGCTAGTGATGATCTTCAGGAAAAGTCTCTGTTGCAGTTCCCAGATTCTGGTTTTCATTCTTCTGCCACTGATCAGACTCATGCCAGTGACCTGTGTAGCTCTGAAAAGAGTTTAGCTGAAGGAACCGAGAGCTCTCTGTCAATGGAAACTGTCAAAAAATGTGGCAATTCTGTTTCAGCGTGTTCTTCAGATGTAGAGGATTGCCCTGGGGAATGTGGGCAAAGCAAAGAGAGCTCTACTAATGAGCAGGACAACAGACTAATACAACAGTATTTGAAATCTGTTCAGCAGCTGGAAGAGGCTGATGAAGAGACAAATTGCAGCCATGAAATGGATGGTAGTTGCCCACAAATGGCTCTTTCAGCAGAAAGCCCAGATTCTTCTTCTGACACTGTCTCTGCGGATCTTCCCCAAGATACATCTTCCCCCGTCCGAGCTGAAATCAGTCAGACACCAGAAAGCTGCAAACATAATTCAGGGATAGTAGAAGGGAAGCAAACAGACTGTGATTCTTCATTTCAGATGCTGCATGTTGGGATAGCTGTATAGTAGACTCAGACTCAGTTCCACAAAGAACTAGGAATTCCATTTCACTCTCCTTTCTCTTTCTTTCTCCCGTTTATATAAAACTTATTTTTCACGTGCGCTGTTTCAGATTTTGACTCATGTTACCAAAATATGTTGTAATTAGTATTTTATTGATGTTGCTGACACTAACTATGCTAACCTGAAATTGGCAAAGTTCTCGGTGGCAGTCATAACATAAACATAAAACTAGTATCCTAATAACAGGCTTCCACTGAATTAGTTCTGAAGATTGGGGGTCACACATATGTGAGTACCTGTGCTGCATCGTTTTCAACACTTTGGTGAATGTGTTAGTAGGTATTTGAATTATTTTTTTTTTTCTACAAAGCAGGATTGAGTTCTTATTTTGCAAAGAGAAGGAAACAATATGGGAAGAAAGAGAGTCAATACAGGCAGTGTATCCTGTCATAGACAGGATACAGCCTGATAAGAAAGATGAAAGAAGTTGCTTTTCAGGCTTCTTTTGACCTTAAACAGGAGTAGTTTGGTCAGTGTATCAAAGATGCATTTCAGAAAACCAGAGTCCAAGTCAATGACTTTTTTTTTTGTCAATAACTTGAAGCTGCTGGCTAGGAATTCAGTCATTTACATACACACTGAAACAAGGACTTACAGGAGTGAGACCTCGGGGAGCTTCAAACAAGCCTTGACCTTTGTTTGCCCTGGGGTTGAATTTCCCTGCTTTCTCAGGTAAGACTCAAAGTGGAACCAGTTGCAGCCATGACTAAAAATTTCAGAAGGGCATGTGATTTGGAAACATCATTTCCAAGGCTGCACTGCTGGGTGGCAGCAGCACACTTGGTGGCTGTACAGTGTTTTGCTCCACAAGGATGCTAATGTCCCTGTGGGATTTGGATCTGCATGGCTTTCAAAATGTTGGTGCATTTGATGAATAAAAACTACTTCTATCTCCAGGTATAAATATTAAAAGCAAATGCCATGGCTTCAAACTATTTCTTAATATCCCTGTTGGGGTTTTTGGTCGGCTGATTGGGTTTTTTCCTGTATGTCCACTATTTGATGTTCTGTTAGATGTGGATAAAAAGCTGTATTTCTTTCCTGTTAGCAGATATGCAGAGATACCTGAGCTATGCTTTCCACTCAAACACCGGGCAAGCAACAGGGTTTGTATCCTGCCCAGCCATTGCTGTGTTGGGTTTTTTAATGGAAAAGGATCAGGTATCTTAGTATACCACAAAAGTGGCAAGGGAAATCTGTTTTGCCATGTGATTTCTGATGGACACTAGTGAAATAGAAGTTTGACTTTGTGACTTATAGGCGTCAGTTCAGTTTGCTATTACTGTATTTTGCAGTGTGTGCTGGAAGGCCAGGGTTTCAGCAGTTTGCTTATGTTTACTTCTCAGTTATAAAGACTCATGCTTATTGTAATTCTAGGAATCCACAGGTTAACTTCTGGTGCTATGGTGTCATTGAAATTAACTAGTGCTGTTGTGAAGTGACTCTTATGGCCATGTTACCCTGTAAAATGATTTAATTTTTGTAAAAGTGTTGGTTGATTTGTCTCCTTCAGGTTCTGAGCTGAAATTTACCACTACTCAGGAGTTTGGTATGAGGCCATATCTGCTTGAGGCCTCAAAATAGCCTTTATTTAGAACATAAATGTTGTATTGGCCTTGCACTAGCCATATGCCCAGTGGTGAAGTTCACTTTGGAAGAATAAAACTTGCCTCTGTGTATAGAATAGTTATCATCTCTTTTCTCCCCACCCCCAAAAAAGCAAGTTCTAGGGCACTGACTTCTCAAAAGAGCTGTCACTGGAGTCAGGCTTAACATTTGTCTGTGCCTTGCTTACATGGGAGTATTAAAAAAAGGCCCAAAACAACTGAGGTGGTAGGTTCTTAATGTGCTGTCTTTCTAACTGAATCTAGTTACAGCACATTTGTAGCATAACCACAGTCATAATGAGAGCATCATTGTGCTTGGTTGTAGAAAGTGGTACAGGTGCATTAATATATCACAATGTCTGATTAGCTGTGCAAAGAAGTGTGTAGTCCACAGGGTCATACCCTTGTCCTCTGCAGGTTCTGAACTTGGGTTTTAAGTCTGCCATGGTTGGGGATCTGCAGTTCATAGGACTTGGCTCTTTGACTATCAATATGTTATGGAAAAAAAATAAACCTTATGTAAACCTTTAAAGGGACCTTCTTTGGGGTTTTAGAGAGAAATCTTTCTGGTCTGTGAAACAGTTGTTGGACCTTGCACACTGGAGGAGTGGTTAGGTGTAATAAAGCAGTAAGTGCTCTTTCATGGCAGAGTGCTTTATTAGCATAGGCAAGACCTGTGAGAAACTAGACAAGTGTCTGGATAAAAATGTTTCACTTACTGAAGACACTGAGGGAACATACGTATTTTGCTGTTTTGTATTTTCACTTTTGCTACCCAGTTAGAGGAGGAAGAACTTCAGTTTTGGAGGTGTGAGAGGGGGAAACCTTGGTGAAAGTTAATTTCTCATGGAAGCCATAGATGTTTCTTGACATTTCCTTTGTTATTAGGACTTCTAAACACAAGGCATCTTGTTTTAACTAATGCCTAGGTCAGCTGTTGTCTTTTTTAACTTGTAACCTGTATATCCAAAAGTGGTTTCATGGAGGTACAGCCAAGTATGTACTGACATATAATCACTTTTATCTTGTGTCTTGGGGGGAAACTGTGAAATACTTTGAACTTTTTCTGATGTTCTGAAAAGTTTACTGCATGTGTAGAAGATGAGTTGCCTAAATATAGAGCACTCAAAGAATGGTGAAGTTTTAGATTAGTTATTACAGGGTTAAATGTAACTAGTTTGTACATACAGAAAATATTTTCATCCTGACCATTTAAATACATAGGAAAGACATAAAGGGAGATACAGTGGAGTACATACAGGGAAAGACATAAAGGGAGATACAGTGGAAAAGTAAGGAATAAAAGTGGATGTGCACTTAAAAATATCTTTTTTTTCAGTCCTGTTTTGAGCTCTCAAAAAAGTATGATGTGGAAGTATAGTTTAATATATGGCTTAACATTTACTCATCTTTGTCTAGATAAGTTTCCTTAATCTAGATATGTAACATTCTTTTACCTGGTTAGGGATGCACAGCTCCCTTTGGAGATGATGGCAATTCCATAAAGGAATTGGAAGGCCTGATATATGAAAATCCATGTCTGAAATGTTTCTGTGTTAATAGGGTATTCTTTGAACATTTTCCTCTTGCAAGGCTTCATATTCAGCAGAAGAATGTACCCTGTAGAAGAAAAGCTTGTCTCATGTTTTGTCCTGGGCTGATCCTCCAAGTGTTAATGGGAGGCATAACTAATGGTTGTTTGCCAGGCAATGTTGTCAACTCTGCTGTGAGTGCAGTTCAAATGCTTCTTTAATTTGCTTCAGACAAATATAGCTCAGACTGTTTGAACTGTGCCACACAAGTAGTTTTGCCCCAAATGAGATAGCTGTCATACACAGACCTTTTTTTTTCAGCTAGGCTGTGACAGAAAATACTCTTTTACCTGTTTTTCTGAAGGTAGGGACAAGTGTTCTTGTACCATAAAGCAAGATAGCATTAAGACTGCAAATTTTATTTTGCTGCTTCTAAACCACAAGCATCCTTCAGCAAATGTTTGAGAAAGTCCTTGCTAAACTCAATTGCAGAAGCCTAACAGTTGTTGATAGTTAAGTTTCTTAAACAACCATAGATTCTACTATTTGCATGCAGCAGTTTAAGTGATTCACTTAGCAGCCAGTCTCTCTGTACATATAAAAAAACAAGTTTGGGGTTTTTTTTTCAGAATAATATTTGTATGTTGTTGAGCTTGCAAGTTGTTCCTGGTTTTTATGAATTTGTATATATTGTTTGAAGAATTCCAGTCTTAATTTCTACTTGTAGCAGGTCATTTGATGAACCAAAATGGAATATACATTCCTCTGAGACTACCTGGGTAATTTTCACTGGACTTGATGTTACAGTGTGTCTCGCATGAATAAATTTTTTCCTGAGAGGATAGAATTGTAGCATTTGGTGGAGGAGAATGACAATAAATGTTGAAACTGGTCAGTTCCCCTGCTAGTGGAAAATACATCTTTTTTTTTTTTTTTTTTTTTTCCCGGTTGTATTAACTTCCCCCCCCCCACCTTGAGGACTGTGCCACAGGAATAAGTCTGCATCAAGTATTGTCTTTTTTTCACAGTTACACTTTTGTTCCTCAGATTGACTTTCTAGGACAAGTTACTGAGAAACTCTTGCTCTCTATATGCCTACCAAAAGGGTTGGGACTCTGTCTGTTTGTAAATGTTTTTCTTTATGTCATTAATGGAAAAAGCACAGGATTCTTTTCTTGTAAAAACATAGCCGTATTTATAAGGAAAGGTGCTTTATCTCTTGGAAAGTGCCATGCCAAAATTTATTGTATAAGAGCTCTCAATAAGATTCTTCTTTTCTGGCTTCGTTATGTTTGTAAATTTATGGGCCAAATTCACTTGTAGCATAATTCTACTGAACTAAATTTTGTTAAGACTTTCACAGTAGTATTCTACCTCTAGAATTTGAGAAAAAAAGAACAATTGGGCATTGATGTGTCTTTCTACTTCTCGCTGTTTTCTGTGAAGAATGGTGGGCGGTTAAATTGGTACAGTTCATATATTTTCTATGAGTGTTTACATTTCTGGATTTATTGTTTCTTAAGCATTTTGTTTGTAACTGAGTTTTGAATTTAAAATAAATTATTTGTACGTTTATTGAAAATTTCAAGTTGCACTTGATCTTGACTCTTATGGCTAATAGTCATTACCTTATGATTGGAGAGCTCTATTGGAAATGGGAAGTTTAGGCACAGAAAGCAGTGATGACAAGGTAAGCATTAGCATTCTTGGTACAGCTGAGGCATCCAATGGCCACTGTTTCAGTGCTGAGGACAGCAAGAGTGTAGTAGAGTACTCGAAATGTGTCCACCTACGACACTGAAAT